AATGGCAACCAGAATACGCCGTATCTGCTCTCCTGAAATAGTGGAAGTAGAAGTGCAGCAGCTGAAAGGCTCACTCCATGAAAGCGGTTATCCAGAAAGGTTCATCCTTCAGAACATCGTAGAGCGTGTCACAAAGGTGGCAATTGCAACGGCGGAAAAGAAAGGTTTATTCATAAGACTGCCGTTTATGGGAGACGCAACAAGTGAACTGGTATGAAGACGCCTGAGGAGAGCAGTCACGAATGCCTTCCCATCGGCAAACTTGCGGGTGCTCTTCACGAACTCTCCCCTTCCACTAATGGGAAGTAAAGACAGACTACCATTTCAGGCCACATCGATGTGCATATATGCGTTCACCTGTCCTGTGGAGCGGGATATATTGGCCGAACGACGCGACGTCTGGAGAAGAGAATGCGCGAGCACATACCGGCTTGGCTCAGCAAAGGAGAGAACAGACATATGTCAAGCTCAATCTTCGCCGAGCTCATTGATACGAACCACAAAGTAGACACGAGCGAATATTTTCGGGTCATATACCGCACGCCGACACACTACTCCAAAGGCCTGCGCAAGCGGGTTTTAGCCACAACAGAGACAGTGGCAATCAGGCTAGCAAAACCCAGTCTATGCTGTAAAAAGATTCTCGTAGCCGCAGTCCGCTTACCATGACTAATTAAACCACCACCTCCTCCCGTACCCCGCGAACCATTTAAGAACTCCACTAACTATGACTGACCATTTCCGTATTTGCATTGTACTGGCCCGCTGATGAATTGCCGAAAACATATGTTCACCAATATGACTTTTCAAACGTAACTGTGTTCGCACTCTTTTCGAGAGATTTAAAACACATTGCAGCACAGAGACCAAAATGAAAGTATAATAACAATACCTACATGAACTCTTTTGAGCTGATGGATACGCGAATTCTTTTATAAACCAAAGCAAGCGCCGAATGAACAGATGACCAGCAAAACGTCTGCAAATCAAGGGCTTGAGAGCCATTCTCTGCACAAAAAAAAGATATCCGAAGCAGTCTCCCGGCTATTTTAATCCGCTGTAGTGGGGGTAGCCCAGTCAACCTCATGTGATAATAAGCCGCCGATG